CAGTTCATACTACTCATGAGTTGTCAAAGTTGGATGGGAAGTTCTGAGAGGATATATGGCTCGATGAAGCAGTTCACAATTGTCACGCTTATTGCTTTTGTAAGAGGACAAGTAAGTGGGGATTTCACTCCACTGTAGAAACGAAACAGTCTCATCCATCTCATGGAGAAATGGTGCAATGACAGATCATTGTAGTGTTCATGGAGAAAGCGTCATCAACATGTAACGTAGATATTCTTTTTACAAGTGTACGCCAAACTCATCCAGCGTTAAATAGTTTCAAGTGAAGTCTCTCCAACCTTCTCCATGCTATTCGTACTTCTTGTGTCTTGGGTTCTCACACCCTCATCACACTGTATCTATCGCCGAAATCGTCTGGTGTTAACACCTTACTGTTTATCTCCTCCTCCTCCGTTTCATTATACACTCCATCACGAAATTCCCTCCCATCAGCTAGTCGTCTACTGAAGTGATTTGTACTCCAAAACACTTCACAAATGATGAGAATATCCCATAACTGATCTCCCCACATAAGTAGTGTGATACCAATTCTGCGTAGTGAATTCGCCTCCCAACAGCATAGATTGTAGTCATATTGTGTTAAAGGAAGATGTTAAGACCTTCTGATCGTGTCAGACATTACTGTATGTGAAGATCAGTGTTTATCCTGTCCTCCCTATGAGGTGAGTGCATAACAGTTGGTCTGCGTTTCTTGATGACTTGTACAATTCAGACGAATACAACCGATATTCTTAACCTCAATATCTTCTTCTGCTTTGCTATTTACGAGAAATCAGTTATCTTTCATTTTTAAATGAACATTAGTGGCAGGTGTTTGGAGGCAAGTGTCAGGGGTACCTGTGTAACGACAAAAGTCAGGTAACAGATCATCTATATATTAACTTTATCTGCCTACGCCAAGTCTGCTGTGATTGGTTGTTGAATCAGTCTTGTTCATATTTCCTCACCACCAATATTTGCGACATACCCATTGACGTAAAATGCTGTCCACCATTTTTGGCTAGCCTGCTTTCACCACACACGTCGCCTCGTCAAATAGCTTCGTGCGTAGGTGTTCCGACCTTCTGGGTGATACATCCTATAGTTGTGGATTGTTACTGACCGGCTTGTCCCACTGTACCCATCTTTGGAGCTGACTGGCGTTAACTCGTTTCTGTTTGTCACCTCTTCCGATAGTATGTACTTGACCCCGTCTTTTTGTGATTGTGTATGGTCCTTCCCACTTTGGAAGGAGTTTCCGTGAACCTGGCCCGCAACCAACTGTATATCTTCTGTCTCTACACTTCACTTGGTCCCCGACAGCAAAGGTAATGCATGAGTCTTTCCTTTCAGCTGAGACTTCGCGACATCACTCCGCTGCTTCCGTATTACATTCTTGACTGCTTCTTTCCGCTCTGCTTTTAATTTCGTCGTACTCCACTTTTTTCAAGTTCTTAAGTAATAGCGTCATCAGTCGTCTGAACATAAACGGTGCACCTTCTAGTTCAAACGGCATGCGCTTAAATCGATATTGTGTCTGCCTCACGATGAATGCCGTCTTATCTCTATCACCTTGTTTTATCGGTGTCTGCCAGTATCCTGAGCGAATTCGGTCGAATTCTTCATATGATGTTAATTATTATTATCATTGCAGTGATAGTTATCATCTTTCACAGTTCTCTCACGCATTTTCTGGTGCGCATAACAAACCTGACTAATTCTGACTATAAACGAGACACTTCTCCTCTCTCCATATTACCGAAACAATGATTACTCAATTTCAAACAGGAGTTTTACTGAAAAACTGTCTCAAATGGTCACACCTTATCAACAACTTCTTGACTCATTCACAAATTGTGTGGAGGAAGTTGCTTATATCTTCAGAATTCCAGCAGATAAGCTTTACGAATAAACTTGTTATCATGATTTCATCATGAGCTGACATTGATTAGAGAATCATTCGAAAACCTGGGAGTACTGGACAGCTGTTTCATCCCAGTTCGGGATTCTTCAGCAGTACGCACCCACCGCCAGGGTTCGAACCCAGGACCTTACGGTTACAAGGCGAGCTCGTATACCATTAAGCCACTAGGACCCGATCCAATGACCAGCCCATGAATTCTAACTTCTGCCAATTCACGACATAGCGCGACCGCTAGCCAATGTCTTCGGCATGTATTCGTCCTCACACCCGACCTGCTGCACCCTACTGGTCACGACTTCTCACTAGAACCTCAGGTAACTACCTACCTGAATAGGGCAAGTCGCTATTTATCAGTTGATACCAACACTTTCTCCGCATATTATATTATTAACAGTTAGTTTGGATGCTGAATAATTGGCCTCGTGTATCGGAATGGTTACTTTTTTCCTTTACGTTTCCAGTGGAACATAGGGCTTCAAGCTAGTGGCTTAGCGAGGTAAAGGAGTGCGTCGGCCGGGGATCGAACCCCGGACCATGTGCATGGTCGGCGAACTTCCTAACCACTGTGCCACCGACGCCAATCGAAAATAAGAATTTACAAGACCTCAAAAATCTAACTGTTGCACAACCGATATAGATCCAAATTGGTTTCGACCGCAACAAATCCTTTAGTAAACAGCATGATTCATATCTCATGAGTACTGTGTCTTGCTTTTCGTCAGTATTCTTGCACTATACAATTTTATTATTTACTTAAATACCTTAAATCTAATATCTGAAGTTTGTACTGATTAAACTGCAATTAAAATATCCAATTTGTGTATTATCGCATCATACAAAGCTGTTTTTGATAGCAAAGATATAATGTGACATTCAGTACACTGGCAGTTCAGCTTCTGAAGATTCACAAATACTATAGTTGGCCGATTTTACATGATACTAAGACTTAATATTGGAAAACTTCAAGGCATTTCAGTGCTGGTTTTATCCTCATTTTATATTATAGCTTAAAATCATTAGAGCCTTATTAATCGGAACTGTTTGTGGCCTTTCGTACTAAGATGCAAAACATAAATGCATTGGGTAATAGGAGTTATTAAGAAGACAATTGCAGCGAAGAAAATTTTCTTTTCGACGAAGTCATCATCTAGGTTGTACATTCGTGTATTTATATCAAATGGATGGGAAAGTTCCAGAATAATTTCCCGTCACGGGTCAAATTAATAAAAATTACAATTAGAAATTAGAATGCCATAATAAACAGGGGGACGGATAAAACTCAAACAAAGTAGCATCATAATAACTAAGAAGATTGACATTGTGCAATTGGGGGTTAGGAATGTAGAAATAACAAAAATAGACAGGATGTTTGGATAAAAAACTGTGATGAATAATTGTTTATGCAATCAGGGATTAAATATGTAGAAATGGTAAAATGGTAAAATAAACACGAAGTTCGGGTATGAAAATATGGTTGTGTAAACAGGGATTAAGAAAAACTTTAAAAAATAACAGGAATAAACAGGAAGTTTAGATAAGAAAGGCGATGGGATGGTCATTACTAAAAAATTACCTGTTTATGATGGCCATGGCAGGAACAGGGGTTGGACGTATTTCTTTTGGATACAAAACGTGGGTTTGAGCTTGTAGATAGCTAACGCCTCGGTTATGCCCAGATGTCTTGATTTCACTCCCTTTGAATCTTGTATATTACTTTGAAGGATTTTCGAAAGGCGCTGAATGTACAGCCTAGATGATGACCTCGTCGAAAAGAAAATTTTCTTCGCTGCAATTGTCTTCTTAATAAATACATTGATTAGGTCATAAGTGGTAATATTTAATTAAAGGGGGGGGGTCCTCACTGAAAACTGTTTCGAATTAAATCAGTTGTTATCTTTACTTTACAAAAAAACCTACATCCCTTATGAAACACTGTATCTCGACATCAATGAATTATGCTGGCAGTCTAGTCAATTAAAATGCGTTACCGAAAGTACCTTTACTCGTTTGTGTATCCGAATTCAGAGGATATACTGCTGAGCCATAGGTAGTACATCCAAAAGTTCACAAACTGAGGATAGAAATACATTAATTTCCTCATCAAATATTCCACGCCAGTCAGTGGCGTTTGTAAAATAATGTATTGACATCAAATGAACTTTTCTTGAAAATATATTTAGCATATTCAAATGGATTGCCAAGTAATCCACAACGGGAAACCCACGGAATCCTTCGAAGTGAGGACGGGAGTAAGACAAGCTGACTGCCTACTATCGCCAATGATTTTCCTGATTGTGATTGACTGGATAATATGACAGACAGCGGGCAGCAAGGTAACAGGCATAAAATGGACCCACACAAAAAAGGATTTGGAGGATCTGGACTTCGCCGATGATATATGTCTGATTTCCCACAAACTGGAAGATGTGCAAGTGAAAAGCAGCAAGTTGGCAGAAGAAGCATCAAGAGAAGATAGGACTTCAGGTGAACATAGAGAAAACATAGGTGATGGAGATTCCTAGCCAACACCAACAGAAACAACAACAACAGACAGTAATCAGTATAAATGGGAGGAATCTGAAAGAAGCAACAGGGATCTCTGGGAACGAACCAACCAGGAACCGAATGTGCAACAGTGTATGTGCAATAAGTATGAAGAAATGGAGGTGGATTTGCCATACTCTGAGAAAACCATCAAGTGACATCAGAAGACCAGCCCTCGAGTGGAGCCCGAAAGGGTAGCGGAGAGTTGGTCGTCCAAGGGTGACTTGGAGGAGGAGGAGGAGATAAAAGCATGTGGGCAGACTTGGAGAGGGTTGAAAACGATGGCACAGAACCGAACGGAATGGAGACGTGCGTCTGAAGCCTTATGTTCCTCTAGGAATTACAGGAAACAATAATAATAATTTAGATGGAGAATGATCACCTATTCTCTTTGTTGAAGGGGGACTGGTGTAACGTAGTATTATATATAATGAGACGACTTTGAATGCTGTCGATATCAACACAACTCCTAGAGCATATATATAGACGAAACAACATATATTAATATATATATATATATATTGTCTAGTATCTAAGTTAGATAATCAAAGTTTTCAGGTATTTCGAACTGGCGACAAAAAGTAGCTTCGTCAATTGAAAATTTGTTATTTAACCATGATTTGATCACAAATATATTGTCTGTTAAAAGAATAAAAAAAGAAAGCAATCAGTAAGTTTGAAAGCATATAAGCTTTAAGTAATAAACAACCCAAAATTATCATTGTCCGAGAATTTCATGTTGCCTTTCGGCTACCTATGCCATAGTGGTCTTCACTATAACTAGAACCCCCCAACACCTACCAACATATTCAGTGGTGGTTGGTTTCAAAGCATAGATTGTTGGACACTGGACTAATGTCCGTAAATGTTATATGGGTTGGTTGGAAGTAATAAGGACAAGTTGACATCATTTTGATGACTGCAAAGAGCTGTCGAGAAGTGAAAGCTGATTTTAAGTTTAAGCAGATGAATTTTATCGTCATAGCTTTTAGTTGTCCAGAAAAGAACTCAAATACAATTTAAGTAAGTGTTTGAATCAGACTAAGTAAAATTCACCGTAAAGACTCTGCACGGAGTCAAATTTAAATTGTTTGGATAGAGGAGGCTGTGCGATTTTAGCTAACACTAAGCAAGAGTTGGTCTAATTCGGATCCTGATTACTTCTCTGTTGAACAATAACAATAAGATATTATATTGATCACCAACATTAATTACTACTGGCCTGTGTAATTAGCATCACAATCAAACACCAGAGAATATACAGGTATAACTGTACGTCGGTGGCACAGTGGTTAGGACTCTCGCCGAACATGCACATGGCCCGAGGTTCGATCCCCTGCCGACGCACACCTGATATCAATGGTCAGCCTGCAAAATTTGGGCTACCGATATCCATGCTGATAATTCCATACTAGTACCAAAAATACAGTGTGGAATCAAGCTGTAATCAAGAACAAAAATAAATAATAGTATTATCATTATCGCTACAAAATGTGGGTAACTGTGTGTTTGTATTCTATACATTTTGTTTTATTTCACAAGCATATTGCCTAAAATATAACTGTTGTCATGCAACAAATTACAAGTCACTATCACATTCTGTCAGTCCGGAGGAGCTTTGAGCATATTTCGCAACATTTTTATCAGTTCTCATCCCATAATTTTTCACATTCATCCGATGGTCATTTGAAAATGACTTATGAGTAATACGAACACTTTATACGCATATAAATGGCTTAGACCGTATTTGCATTTTAGTCAAAACTGGTAAAACTCGGATAAGTTTATTTTCCCATGACAGACTCAAAATTAGAAATCCTTGTAAGTGCTTTATAAAGAACCTCTTCTTACCAAAATATTACTTAGAGTGTTATAAATTCACTAAGGTCTAGTTACACCTAAGTATACCAGCAGGTTTACTTATGCAGTCGTAATAACTATATATGAGTGAATTTCGGAAGAAAATTATGGTCAACAATGTATGTATAATTATGTAGCATGTCATCTCCAACAGTTTCTTGGAATAACACTAAAATGAAACTAAGTAATACAAACAGCACTAGTAAATAAATTGGCTCTGATGTTAATGAACATCTGAATTAATTGCATTAAATATTTTAGTGGATTTAATTAACACCTTCCATAAAATATGAACATCTTGAAAACAATGAGGTCACACTCCACAGTAAAATACTCGTATTATTGGAGGTAACTGATCATTTTAATATTTAACAAAACAGGGTTAATTTACACCCACCTGTCCAACGATTAGCAGCATCCAATGCTGTAAGCTGTTGCTGTTTTAGTTCTTGTAAGCGATCAGGGTCATATTTTCTTAGGTCTTGAAGCTCTACACTAAGAGATTTAAGTAACTCTTTCTTCTCAACGAGCTCATTAATAACTTGTCTCCTCTCTTCCTACATAAGATTTGAATCTTTAATAATGTTAATATTTACTGTATCTTCTCTTTTGCTTGAAGCTTCATCCAGTGCTTTCATTGTTTTTGAAAGTTGGTTGCGTGTAGTTTCTATACTTTCCTTTAACTTCTCGATACTAATTTTAAGCTGAAATTAGAGTAAAATTGACGGCAAAAAAACAACTCACCTTTTGTGCAGCTTTGCTGGGAAATGCCCAAAAGTAAACACTGGTTCCTATCTTTTCCGTATCAACTAAGTCATCGTGAACAAGACTCATTAAAACATCTTTCACAGACATAGAGTTAATTCCCTTTTCTTTTTGACAAAGCCTCTCTAATTCTTTCAGCTGAAAGAAATCTTTCTAGGTTGAACAATTTTTCCGAGATGTTTTATCACTTACTTTCTCATAAAAGAAATCTAGCATCCTCTGGCGCTTTTCATCAAGACTCAGACCCTTCTTCTTCGACTAGATGATATAGCAGTGTCAAAACATTGACAACCATATGATTTGAAGTCAGATTAAACCACAACTTTAAATTTTATCCCAAAATTCATTATAATAATGCTAATAAGGTTACAAGGTTTTGACCATACCATCAACTTTCCTACAACACGTACCTATATATGTTACGACGAATACACTAACTAAACTCTCTTTATAATTTGAACGCTTAAGTTCAAATGAATTCGCCTGTTCAGAGATTACGTTCGGAAGTGGTTATCACAATAAGTTTCTGAAATACAACCTGTAATCCCCGTGACCTTGAGGGATATAACTACTCGACTTGAGAAATCTGTAGACTGCCTCATATTGAAGTGAATTATCAACGTAGAGGTTTGCACAAAAGTACACCATTTCAAATCACCACATTTCGAAGGCGCACACATAAAAATAAAGTAAGAAAATGTACTGGAAACAAAATAGTATGGCTCACTAAAAAATACTTGTATAAATCACCAACTATAGTTCAGAATAGTGTGTGTAAGGCTGACATTATAAGTCTGGTCATCGGATGACTAAAGAGTAGCTTGTTTTATTCCGAAGCCATTTCTAATACCTACCACACTGAGGCGGTATCACTAAAACACATAGGGTTAAACGTACCACTTTTAAGAACTGCATCTAGGTTTCAACCCGAAGCCATCTAGAGAGTTTTAGTCAACCATATGGTAACAGCAAACGTCGCACCATAAATTGCATTATTATGAAACGGTTGTTGAGTAGCATTTTATTTTCATCTCACCTGAGTTAATCTTGATTTTTCAGTAGTCCATTAAGCATAAGGATGATGCAGTACGATAACAGAGAAATCAGAATCACAATAGCATTCTAACTCCCACTTCTCTACCTTCTGTGGGATAAGTCCAGTTGAATAACAAACGTAAACTTTGCAACAGTCAAGGCACTATGGAAATAAACTACTTAGTTCGGAGTATTTCTCTGTTTGTTGGCTGGGCAGCTGAATAATCGCAGTGAGGTGATTTGATATTATACCCAAAAAAGAATTATATTATTTAAGTTAGCTTTTCTATAATTTGTTAGCGCTCGTCAAATTTAGACTGGCAAAGATTATTGTTTCGTGAGGATCCTCAATTATGACTGTTTAATATGAGCGGAAGTAGAAATCACTGCTACCAATCAATCTAAGAACTGGAAAACAATCCGTGAGATGGTTTAAGTGAGAAACCAATGACCATAGCAAATTAAACATGTATATATTTCGTCCCATATTTCTCCTTTCAACACCAGTTGTTACAATTACATTACTTACTGCCCTCGTTATTTCAATTTTACCAATATTTACGAAGAATTCTCCGAATGAGATTCCATTAAAACAGTAGTACTACTGGTAAAAAAAACGTGTCTTTTTTAACTGACATGGGGAACCTAAGGAGTTTCCTTTTAAAAGAGTGGGAGAAAGTGCGCGACAGTGTGGGAGGAATCACAGTCTAATCTAACCAAAGTTGCTGTCACCCCAAACTTCACTCACTTAAGAGGAATTCCTCTTTGTGCACCCTAAAACTGGGTACATGCCTCCAAGTATGTGAATTACAATACAGCATTCAACTGTACAGCACATAATTTTTTATGTAAATGCTGAAGTAAAATCAAAGGAATATAGATCCAAGCCAGAAATAAACCAGATAACCCAGGGATGTATGCTAAGTAGCATATATATGAAAATCCTCATAAGACAGAAATTAACATTACTTAGCTACTTCCTGATTTATAAAAAGAAAACTTTACAACACGATAAAACAAAAGCTACTTGATGGGGGACTGGAATAAGAAACAATTCCCCATTACCATCACTGATAGATATGATATGATAGATCTGATAGATACGCCAAGGACGAAATCGAATATATGCGAAATAAATTGCCAAACAGCTAAACAAAAGATCTCGTACAGCTATGTGGTCCTTGCTCGAAATTTTGATCTTCATCCAATATCCAATATCCTGATTACGAGCTAGTATAAACCAGTTATTTCTTTGAGCTCGCTTCTTGATTGTGAGGTAGAGGTTCCAGATCTTCGGTGAGCTTCTGCGTAGTAAGTCCCGCCACTCGACTGCTTTAGCTCTGGTAGACTCCAGGAGGAGTGGTGCGGGGATTGGTCAAGATGTGGTTTGTAGTATGCAGTATGTTAGGACTGTATTGCTGCCGTGAATGGAGTTTGACCTAACTCCCATTGGTCATTCGGTGTAGTCATAAAAAGCAGAATAGTAGTAATAAGAATAAGAATAAAAATAATGGGTTGTAGTGTAGATAATATAGGTTGAGATAAGTGGAATAATAAAGGTGACCTAAGGAAAAGATAGGGTGAGAGAAGGCAGAATAGGTCGTTGGGATTTAGTTTGTACGCTTATCCATTAACAGTGTGGTTTCAAGTTTTATGAGGATAAGCCATTGAGACACAAACCGTGCATTTCTGCATGATTGTCTAGCTTCCGCTTAAAAATCTCCAGAGAAGGCGCTGTAGTCACGGCCGCCGGTAAAGCGTTCCAGAGACGGCAAACACGAAGCGAAAAGAAATGTGATCGCACTCGAGTCTTCGGTCTCTGGTGTGCTATCCTTAGCGGGTTACCTCGTGGAAGCCTATAGTCACTTAATGGCAGGATGCTTTTATTTGGGTGGGCCTGGTCATTTAGGATTTGGTAGACGGTGATGAGGTCTCCCCTGTGCCTTCGGTAACTAAGTGTGAAAAGACCTAATTTCTTTAGTCTTTCCTCATATGATTTGTTGCGGAGGCCGATCACCCATTTTGTCGCTTGTCTCTGGACACTTTCTAGAATGTTAGCATCCCTTTTGAGTAGCGGAGGTGCAATGATATTATGCACCTCAAGGTGTGGCCTCACATATGCCTTGTATAGCCTTAAGAACAGTTCGGGAGTGAGAGCTCCCAGCTGCCTGTGCATAAAGTGTAAAGTTGCGTAGGCTTTGGCGACGTCCCTCGAGTAATTTCTACTGGTGTCCAGCATTTCTGTTAGAATAAGACCTAGGTCTCGCTCTGATTGAACACAACTCAAGTTCTGACCACCAAGGGTGTAATCTACACTATGTGACCTGCCGAATGAAGTTGCACTACTTTGCACTTCTTTAGGTTGAAAGGCATTCCGTTAGCTAGAGCCCAGTTTCCCAGAGTTTGCAGGTCAGCCTGCAATCTGTCTGAGTCTTCCGATGAGTTTATTGCTCTCCAAATCTTTACGTCGTCAGCGTAAAGAAGCGCAGAGCAGTTTAGTTGGGAGGGCAGGTCGTTGATAAAAGTCAAAAACATCAACGACCCTAGGATAGAACCCTGAGGAACCCCTGATGCCGAGGTGTGCCAGGATGATCGGATGCGGTTGACTTTGGTGCAGAATTCTCTCTCGCCTAAGTAATCTTTCAGCCATGCGAGAAGTGCTCCAGAAACACCCGCCTTGCTTATTTTGTGAAGGAGCAGACCATGGTGAACTGTGTCGAATGCTTTCGCAAAGTCGAGAAAGATCACGTGGGCTGGTACCATTTTGTCCCAGGATAGTGTCGAATCATTCCAAGCTAGCAGAAGATTCGTCATGCAGGATCTTCCCCTCCTAAAACCGTGCTGTGCTTCGTGAAGAAGGTTAGTCCCATCGAAGTATTTTCTCATATGGTCGTCAATGATACTTTCCAATATCTTCGATATCACTGAAAGTAGGGCAACTGGTCTGTAACTGGTCGCATTCTGCCGGTTTCCACCCTTGAAGATAGGGGATAGGATTGCTCGTTTCCATTCACATGGAAGTTTCCCTACATCAAGGGAGTGTTGGAACAGATCACTTAGGGGTTGGCAGAGACTTTCTGAACACTGCTTCAGGATGGATGATCTGATGTCATCACAACCTGAAGACTTTCCCGAAGCCAACCTTCCCAATTTTGCAAGTACCATAGCCGGGGTGATTTGAAATGTACCCAGGAGGTTTTCGCGTGTTGGTTTTGCGATGTAATCTTGATGTTCTGTGGGGGTAATATCCTCGTTACTGTTTAGTTGCCTGTGAAAGGCTAGGCTGAATATCTCTGCCATTTCAAGACTAGTAAGAGATTTCCCATCAGAACCCACTAGATTGCAAGCTCCCTGGTTGGTCGGTTTTCTTTCGGACATAAACCTGTAGAAGCTTTTGGGGTTCACGAGAAGCTTATTGGCGAGGTCTCCCTGAAATGTCCTTCTATCGCTCCGGACTCGTATGTTACATCGATTCCTGAGTTCAAGGTACACTTCATGTTCGGGTTGACTCTTCGATCCCCCACGCAAACCAGGCTTTTCGCTTCGCCTGCAGAAGGCGTGGTGCCCCCTTTTAGCCATGATTGTTGCTTCCTAGCTTTTGGTGTGACTAAAGGAACAGTGTCTGAGACCGCCTGGTGAATGATCTCCTTTACCACTCTCCAGTGTTCTTCAACTGTTAGCTCTGTCCATTTTTTAGGCCAATTTGCTTCAGACAGAAGTCTTCGCATTTTGGTGTAGTTGGCTTTGTTATAACACAGATAGGGCTGTGTATTGTCCCACTGTAAGCGCTCGCGGAGGACTATGTCGAATACTATGACCGCGTGGTCACTACTACCTATGGGAGTCGTGATCTGAACGTTTTCCACTAGTAGCTGGTCACTAGTGAGCACGTAATCCAGTCTAGAAGACTTCCCATCAGGGCCCCATCTAGTATCCATCTTGACATTTTCAGTGAATCCAGCCTTCCTGATGGTATGCAGCAGATTTCGATCAAATCTATCATGGGCTTTTCCCGACACCAAGTTAAGAGATGGGGCATTGAAGTCACCAGCTATGACAATTTGATCATAACCCATGTCTTGAGTCACTGAGATTGTATTTAGCAGTACCTGGTTGTGGTCTGCTCCACATGAAGGTGATCGATAAATGCTGCCCACTAGATATTTGCAGTACCCAACGGTGAAGTGGCACCATATGGAGTCAGGGAGCTCTGTGAGGGGAGGGTCCATCGCGTGAACACATCTGAGCTGTTTGTCGACGTATATGGCGACTCCACCTCCTTCTTTCAGGTCCCTATCTCGCCTGACTAGGACCATATCATTTATACTGACTTCGCTGTCTGCCACCGTAGGGGTTAGCCAGGTTTCCGTCAGTATTATGATTTTGGAGTTCAGTTGTGATTGTAGGTGTCTAAGTTCAGCTATTTTGCCTCTTAGCCCTCTCACATTACTGTACAGGCAACTGGTAGTCAGTCTCACCACTTCCCCGTATTGGGGGGTAGTTGACTTGATATTGGCTATCGGTTGAGGAGTTATCCTACGAACTAGTTGGCCGATTCCCCAGGAACCGGCCTGTTGGCGTTTTTTTCTTCTAGTTCAGTCGGAGCACTCGGATGACACTGGCTATCATCGTCCGTGCTGCACCGCTGTAGTGTGACTAGGGGTTGAGGATTTTTTTAACTACGCTTTGTTCTCTCCTTTGAGTGCGAGGCCGGCTCTCGCAGCAGCGAATGTGTTTGCTGACCTTGTCCTTGGTCTCGTACCATCTATGGAGAGCGGTAGTCAACTGGTCTTGGGAGCTGAACTTGACAGCTAACAGACGTGGCGAGTTAATTGACATAAGATGAGTGGGTCGAGGCAGTCTATAAATAGAGACAGCCCCTGAACTCCCAGGGCCATCTGGGATGCCAACCATCTCCATTGTTGTACATCATGACAATGCTTTTCGCAGGCGTTCCCAGTTACCAGTTCGGGAATGCCATGCACAACCATGGAGGCAGAAGGAATGAGCTCTGGCGACTCCCTCGCCATTTGTCTTTCCTTCCACGGCCTGTCTGGCTTAACGCGTATGTTACAGGCCCTCCCTATAGAAAGGACTTGAGAAGCCAGTAACACTTTTTCAACATCCTCGGTAGAGCCCAATGTTACCCTCAGTGGGGATGGTTTGCCTTCAGGTGCAGCAGTGCCCCTATACAATCTGCATAGATTTACTGGTTGGATGTCCAAACCCAGTGTGCTGCACAAGATGGACCACTGTTCCTGATCAAATAGGGCCCTATCTTTCAGCAGACTACTGCTACAGTCTGGTACATTAAAGAGGATTACACAATTTGATCTACTAACCGTGGGCTTGGGCTCGGTCCTCGCACATTTGTGATTTCCTTTAAGACCGTTTTGGTTCGTCTGGTGCGACTGGGTATTTTTTGTGTCTCAGTGCTGTGGCCAATATTACTGGCAGACGAGAGGGGTCTTTTTCCAACGACGGAAACCCGTGGTTCTCCAGCCTCTGTGTCTGGAGCGGTTATGTCAAGAGTTACAGGTTTAACCGGTGAGGATTTTGGTATCCCCGGTTTACGCGCATTTGTACTAATTTCCGGATTGGTGCTGGTCGAACATTTCATATTTTTCCCCGCTACTTCTGCACCATCTTTAGTTTTCAAAGGACTACGCGAGGCTACATCAGGACGGCAACTCGGGCATATGTACCAGAACCATTGGCATGGGTTTTTACGCATAAAGTCATAATATGCTTTTGGTACCCCATTGTCGCATCTGCAATGCACCCATCGCTTGCAAAAGTTACATTCGAAAGCAGAGTCTGCTTGTTCGACAACAGAAGCGCAGACCTTGCAGTCGTCTGCCTTCTTGGGGAGCGTTCTTGTCGTCTTGCGACGTCGTGAACGTTTCTTTTTGGCCTTCCTATTTGTTTCATGGTCTACCATGGGGATGGGTGTTATGCAGTTCTCACTTAGTGCAATTTTCCCACTCGGATCTGTTAACCTAGTCGTGTTAACAGGGGTGGAGCCACATCCACTTGGCTGACTTTGCACAGCTTCACTGTAGGACTGT